TGGGGCCCCCAGCACAGGAAAGATGTGAAGGTGGAATTATTGGAGCTGTTCTAGAGGAAGGCCATGAAGATGATCAGTGGGCTGGAGCACCTCTTTTATGAAGATAGGTTGAGGGAGCTGGGCTTGTTTAGCCTGAAGAAAAGAAGGCTGAGAGGAGATCTCATTGCGGTCTTCCAGTACTTGAAGGGAATTTACAAGCAGGGGTGGACTAAATTTTTACATGGTCTGATAGTGACAGGACTGGCTTTAAATTAAAAAAGGGGAGATGTAGATTAGATATCTGGGGAAATGCTTTACTCAGAGGGTGATGAGGTGCTGGAACGTGTTACCCTGGGAAGTTGTGGATGCCCCATCTCAGGAGGTATTCAAGGCCAGGCTGGGTGGGATCCTGGGCAGCTTGATCTGGTGGTTGGCAGGGGGTTAGAATGAGATGATCATTAAGGTCCCCTCCAACCTAAGACATTTTATGGTTCTAGTTGGAGTAGCCATTATTTAATTACATGTAATAATGTACCCAATGTAAATAAATGTAAATCAGAAGTCCCTTCATTAAGATCAGAAGTATGATTAGCCCTTCATTCTGTCTGGGGAGCTGCCCAACAGAAACTGGAGCAGTTGTTTTCCTCTTCTGGCTTTTGTGTTATTCTTGTAACTCACACACCTGCCCTGCTAGCTTCAAAGTAGATTTTCTCTTCCCCCTTCCTCATGTTTTCCACATGATCATGCAGATGAAACCACAGAGTGGCATTTGACATGTACCCACTGTATCCTCTGTCGTGAGCAAAGAAACTTTTCCTCCTAGTAGCTGAGATACTAGACTGTACAGGTGGGAAGGAGCAACTCTTTGCTGGACCCCTTGGGCAGTTTCCTCACAGCCAAGATGCAGGCCCATTGGGAAGGGAGAGATTTTCTTTGTGTTACCAGAGCTGGATGACCACTATGTGCACCACTGGTTCCTCTCCATCTTTCCAGTGTGCTGGCATATGATGATTGATCCATACAAATTTCTGTTCCACTGACTGCATACACGGGCTTCATCTGGATCTTTGGTTACCTGCTTGTTATCCAGGTGACCACAGATCTCTTCCAGCACAGCTAATGTGCACAGCAGACCAGATGGAGGTGCTAGATACCTTTTTTTCATGGCAGTCCACTTGCATAGGTGACATACATCATCTTTGAAGGAGTTTGATGCCCAACAGGAATCACCTCCGGAGGCTGAGGGCTCATGGGCTTTTTCCAAGTCCTATTCCTTAGAGAGGGATTCCAGCTGCATGGCTTCCCTGCATGGCTAATAGCCCTGTTATCCTCACGTCGGAGTAATCAGGAGACAACATTCTTGCCTGGATGATGGCTGAAATCCTTTTGTGTATCTCACATCTCACTCAGGAATAGGGATTGGGTAGTTTCTGACTCATTTGAGTTCTGTCTCTTCCTCCTCCTGTTCTTGTGGTGGCCCTGCTGCAGGGGAGACTGCCTCTTCCAGTTCTTCCTCTTGCTACCTGCTAGGAGAAGCTGCTCCTTTCCCTGCTAAGTCAGCTGACTTCTGCTTCAGTTGTTTTCTCTTGATACAGCAGTGACTGATACTGTGGAGGTCAGGCTCTCTGGTTCAGCCACCATCCCTGTAGTGAAGTTGTGTTAGCCACAGTGTCTGCCAGCAGAGGTGGATTAGCTGCAGGGCTTGAAGTAGCTGCGGTGTCTGTGATGGAAGTTGGATTAGTGTTGAGTATGGCTCAGTAGGCATAGGCCAAGCCCCAAAACGTTTGTCCAGGTTTTATCTGGGACAGAGTTAACTTTCTTCAGAGTGTCTGATATGATGCTATGTTTTGGGTTTAGGAGAAAAGAACAGTGTTGATAACACAGCAGTATTTTAGTTATTGCTGAGTAGTGCTGTACGGAGCTAAGGAAGTTTCAGCAGTTTGTACTGTCCTGCCAGCAAGGAGCTGGGGGACACAGAGGGAGCTGAAAGGGGACAGAACCAGGACAGCTGACCTAAACTTGCCAAAGGAATGATCCATACCATACGTATCATGCTGGAAATTGGGGTGTTGGCCATTGGGGTGGAATTGGGGTGAGGGGCTACTGCTTCCTGGGGACTACCTTGGCATTGGTCAGTGGGTGGTGACTAATTGCTTGTAAATACATATAAGGACTGCTTTCTTTTATGATACGGGCAGAAAATGTCAGGGGCAGATGTTGGTGGGATGGCAGAAGTTGAACCTTCCCACCATCCCGTTCCATTTTGTTGCGATATGACAGACGGCAGCAGAGGGGCAGACTGACAGCATGGCATCTGATGTGCAAAAGTGTGGCACTCCTTCTGGAATAGAAGTGTAGCCATTGACATTCATCAGCATTTGCTGAATGTTTATGAATACCAAACAGTGGATGCTGGCATAGTGAAGCAGTGGGTGGTGAGTTTCAGCAGTGGCAACAGTGGCAGTGGGGCACCTCTGCTGGTGCAGATTTATAGGAGCACAGCATGCAGGCTCTTGTTCATTGCTGGCAAAAATGTGTAGTTAAGGGTGTTAAATGTATAGTTAAGGGTGTTGAAAAGAAATATTTTGTAGCTGAGAATGTGTTCTGTCAAAAAGTGCTATTTGTACCTGTTGTAGTTTCCTTGAAAATAAATAGGAGGCATTGCTTTTGTAGCACTCCTTGTATATATGTATTATTATTGTCATTACTATTATTTCTCTCTTCTATTTTAGTAAATAGTTTTTATCTCAGCTTACGAGTTCTATTTTTTTTCTTTCTGATTTTCTCCCCTTCCCCTCTGGCAGTGTGGTGCTGAGCTTGCTGTTGGGTTAAACCACAACAGTGTTGCAGTGATTTGTGCGATGCAGACATTTTTACAGTTTTTCAATATTTTGCACTTGTTCAGATATGAAGTTCCAAAGCACTGGCACTGTCCAGTGACCGAAATGCCTGTCCATATGATCTCACACACCCTTCCACTGTAACTAGCCTGCTTCAGGGCAGGTCTCTCCACGAACAGGTTGCCCAAGGAGGCTGTGGATGCACCATCCCTGGAGGCATTCAAGGCCAGGCTGGATGTGGCTCTGGGCAGCCTGGTCTGCTGGTTGGTGACCCTGCACATAGCAGGGGGTTGGAACTAGATGAGCATTGTGGTCCTTTTCAACCCAGGCCATTCTGTGATTCTGTGATGATTCTATGATTCTGTGATATTCTAAAGTAGTTCTTTAACCTTAGATAGAACCTGAAACACACTGTGGAGACATTGCAATAATTTGCTTGTTTGACCATTTCAAAGATATTCAAAATTCTTAAGCACTGTTGTAACTAGCCTGGAGGAGAAGAGGAAGGTGGAGGAGAATGGAGAGATGTCCTCTGCAGATTCACTCCCTGTGGAGAAAAGGTAGAAAATGTACTTGGTCATAGTTTTGCGAAATAACTCCTGAAATACGAGGATGCCAGCATTGCTGAGTATAAGTACCAGAATAGGCTCTTGGTCACTGTAACATAAGCAGATGTTATATACAAACTGAGGAAGTCAAAACCGAACTTAAGCCAGCTCTCAGAGATAGAGGCAGGTAGAAAGCGGTTACATAGAAAACCTTGTGAGCAAATAAATCAATGTTAAGAGCAAAGAAATCTGTGTTGTAATTGGCAACTGTTAAATGAATATGGTACTTACAGCAAATTACAAACATATTTTTTCGAACACTCAGGTAGATCTGTTGTTATTGCAATCTGTGGGGCTTCATGTTGGGTGCCAAAGGAGCTGTTGTTGTAGTTTAACCCAGTGGACATCTCAGCACCACAGAGCCTATGGCCCACTTTCCCCACAGTGAGAGGGATGTGAGAAACTTGCTCACGATCAAAAATTTCTAATCAAGCAGAGATCTCAGTGAAGAGCAGTTTATTCATTATTGCAATAATGGGCACACACCCCCTACTGATAAGGGAGAAATTGCATGACTAGTCAGTGAAATCCATCCTGTTATGTACCCTGGGTCCAACACAGGTAAAGCCTCTCCTAGCACTCATTGGTTGGGGGTCTAAGGCTCACAACCTTCCAATGCTGTTGCTACCCTACATTTCCATACAATGTCTTTTTCCAACCCATTGTTTTTAGGTATGTTCTGTACTTTTTATGGAGACAGGAGGACAATAGTCTCAAGAATTAGCACACTAGTTCTGTCCTGTACCAGACTCTCCCCAACCCTAGTGCCTGTGCCAGTTCTACCTGTGTCGGAATGCCCCAGTCTCAACTTTACTCTGTACAGGAGCTTTCTTTGTGAAAGGCAACTTATCCTATGCTACATACAGAAATAGTGCAAATTTCCACTGCAAAAACATGATCTACCTCTCACAGGGAAGAGATTCAACGAAGAAAAAAGTAAAACTCTTGAATAAAGACGTAATAATAAGAAGGAAAAAGGAGGAAAAGTAATAATAATAATAATAAAAAAAGGCTAAAAGAAAAGAATACACAAAAGGAATGATGCACAGTGCAGTTGCTCATCATGCACTGACCAATGCCAAGCCAGCAGCAGCCCCCCCCAACAAACTCACCCCAATTTTCAGCACGATGCTGGTGATACTGATCTCTTTGGCAACCTTAGGTCAGATGTCTGGTTCCGTCCCCTCACAGCTCCTTCTGACTCCCCTCCAGCTCCTTGCTGCTAAGGCAGCAGGAAAAGCTGAAATGTCCTTGAGTGTTGCTAGTGAACAAATAAAACATTGGTATGCTATCAGTGTTGTTCTCATCCTACATCCAAATCACAGCACCAAACCAGCTACTATAAAGAAAATAAACCATGAGCCAAAACCAGGACACCATAAAGAAAATATATGTGGATCACTCCAAAAGCAATGCCTCCTGTTTATTTCAGCAGAAACTGCAACAGATATAAAGAGCACAATAACACTATTTAATTGAACAAATTCTCAGCTACAAAGCACTATTTTTCAATATAGTCACTACCATTAGCTATGTATTTTTGCCAGTGATGAACAGGAACCTGCATTCTGCGCTCATAGAAGTCTGCACCAGTGGAGGTGACCCAATGCGGCTGTTGCCACTGCTGAAATGAATATTAGACTGATGTGTCACAGCTGTGGGCCTCCTCTGCCTGACATCTGACAGAGGTCCTACTCAGAAAGAAGAGCTGTCCAAAGGGCTGTGTGCCAGTGCCTTTGCTCCTGCTGCAACAGTGATGCTAGGTCTTCATAGCTGCAGCTGTGCTGCTATTTATTCTCTTTTCTCCCTTTTTGTTTCTTCGAATGTTCCCCATCTGAGGTATTTCACAGCAGGTTGAGCTTTTTGGGGCTTTTCTGTCAGTGTTTTGAAAGGTGTGTGTTGCAAACGCTGTCTCCAACCCTATTTTTCACTCCTTTGGAGGTGAGGAAGGAACTCATCAGCCTGTCTGTTGTTTAGTGCCAACTCTTCTTCCACTAGTGAGGCTCCTGGACATTATGGGACAGTGAACCAGAGCAGTGCTGTGTTATTTGTGCAGGCAGTATCTCAGAAATACTGTATTAAAAGTTTAATCATAGTTAATGTGAGCAGTGTTGGTGGTAGATTGCTGTCTAATACTATGGAAGCCCATGAGGAATGGTGGAGATCTCTGTGAGCTGCTGGATTTCAGCTATGGCAGTGGTGTGTTTATAAATCCACACCGACAGTGTTCTCATTAGACATTTGGCCTTGAAGTAGCTTTTGGCCTGGCCTGTGGTGTCTGAAGAGGGAAGCAAGTACTGAGCCATCATGGACAGGTCCAGCTGAGAACTCAGATCACTAGGCAAGGCCTGAGACCATTCAGGAGATCCATCTGCAGGCTAAATTCTGTGGCTACCAGGAAAGCCTGAGGTCAAGCCAGGCTCCAGACCAGCAGGGGATGATCCGTCTCCTCTCCCCCCACCACATGCCTTGCCTGCTCCTTTAAATTTATGACTGGATGGATTGAACACCACTGATACTGTGAGAAATTCAGTTGCATGCACTGGATATTCCTCCTGATTAATTCTTGTTTGTGAAATTCTCTCTTATAGCCAGTTAAAAGAAAATCAAGAATCACTGCACAGTTGGAGAACTGAAAGGTGAATTTCAGAGACCTCTTTCTTCTCCAGTGTAGGGTTCACCAAGCCCCAGCCATGGTCTGCATCTGGATGGTATAGACCTCAGATCCAGGAGCAGCATTGCTTGTACTGAACCTGCTGCACTCATCCCTTCTTATGGTTGTGCCAGGTAAGATAAAAACCTGGGATCATATAACACGGGCTTTACTAGGTCATGTTATGACTTTCATGATCTTCTCTGTTGGGATAAATGGGCCTTTAATACATCTCAGAGAAATGCCTCCTGGAAGGTGGTGGAAAGGGAAGAACCATTTTCCGTGGTCTCTTTCTCACTCCTTTGTTGTGTTTATACTACCAACTTGATTTCTTTCTTGCTGGCTTCCAATGTCTCACTCTGTGCCCACGCAAGGTGATGGACAGCAGAGCAGAGATGGAGGTTGTGAGAACCATGAAAGGAAATGCTGCTGGGGAGGTCAGCGTTCATGTGGTCACCACTGAGAGCACTGTGCAGAGCACCCACCTGCCAACAACTGCCTTCATCTTACCAGGTATGTGGTCTGATTTTTGGATGGTCCTTTGTAGAGCCAGGAGGTGGGATATTCTATGATTCTATGGCTGTCCTGTTTAACTGAGCTTCCTCAGCTCTCTCACCACGCATTGATGTGTATCACACTTCTTGTACATGTATGATCCTCCCAAACCTTGGGAAGCAAGGTTGTGCTGCTGTTACTATCTTAGAAATTCTCTGTGGCAATCCCACATCACTTGGATGGTTTTTGGCTGATCAAAAGCTCTCAGCTTTTTAAATGAAGCCGTGATCTCTAGGGCCCTGTGCTAGTGCAGAGCAGTTTGCCTGGGTGCCCACTTTGCAGAGGGCTCCTGTTTTGCAGTTCTAGGGCTAATCTGGCCCAGCGTAGAAGCAAATGTCCTAATTGTTTTTCCTCCTGAACTTGGATCCTGCTGTGGAAAAGCCGCAGACTGTATAGTGCATTCATTAAGCAGTCCAGAAGCTTACTGGCACTCTGCTACAATATGGTGTTCTGATCATGGGAGCAGGCTGAAGTTAGGCTGAAGTAAGATCCCCCGAATGTGGATAGTGCCACCTCCTCACACTGGTATCTCTGGCTGCAGATCCTGTTGGGCCACACTGCCTGCACATGAGTGCTTTAGAACACCATACAGAGCCCTTGGCTGGAAGATTATGTCTGTTACTTTGTGCTACCGGAGGTTGCTGTGATTCCTTTAAGATTTGTTCGCATCAGCAAAACATTCTCTGTATGTCTCTGGTTGGTTGTTTCTTTTCTTCCACTCTCAAGCAAATGCCACTACCATCAACCTTCCTACAAGCACCTTAGAAATCCAGCGATTCCCCAGGGAGCCACCAAGAAACACGGGGGCTGAGAGGCCAGAGAAAGGGGTAGGAAGTGAACCCATCACAGCCACTGTCATCCCCCAGATCAGTGGGGTGCAGGCCTGCAACACAGTCCGTGTGCTGGAGTGGAAAGATGGGGTGGCTACTTTGCCTGGGAGTAACCTGCGGGTAAGTGTAACCACAGGCCATATTTGCCCTCCTCCCTTCTCCTGCTGCTCCTTCTCCTCCCCTTCTGCTGCTCCCTCCAACTGCTTGCCCTTTTAAGTGGCAGTCCTCAAGCCTATGCCAGCCTGGGGCCTCTGGAATATGATGCAGGGCCCTGGCAGTATGCATGGCACAGCCAGAGAATCCTTCAGCTGTTCCTGCTCTGTGAGGCTGGTCATTCCCCATCTCTGTGACTGCCCTGTACTGTGAGCTTAGGAAAGAAAGCATGTACATGCTGTGTTTGGGGCTGCAGTGTTTTGCCCTGCACAGGGAGACAGAGGAATGCTATTTTCTATGTGGGGCATTTTTCCTTTCCAAGCCATGCTGTGGAGTTGGCTCTCAACAGAGTCCTGCACTCACCATAAAAGCAGCAGCCTTGCACTCATCAGACAGCTTTTAAGTGTACTGAGGCTACTGAGTAGTACGAAATAGCTTGCATGAAGTGCACTGATTTCTCAGCTTCTATTTAGCCACAGGGCATCACATCATGATGCCTGCTCAATGCTACCAGCTGGTGCTGATCACAACCAAGTGCAGGCAGACAGCAGATGAGGGCTGGGATTAGAGCCTCTCATGCTGCTTCTCTCTTCTTGGACCATGCAGGGTAGGCTCAGTAGCTAGCAGGGTCTGCGTGGTGGAGCATCAGGACGGCTGACTTTTGTGCTCTCCTCTATCATTGGAGGAGCCATCCTCTTTCTGGACACAGTAATCACTAAGCCATGCCCCTGTTATTCTCAGAATTCATATGCACCCACTGGCTATAAAGTTACATTTTTACCTCCTTGTTAACTTTTTCCTTCTGTTTTTTGGTTCAATGGCATAGTTTCGAATAAATGAGTATGGGACGCTGAAGGTGGTGAGTGGTGACAAGATGCCTCCAGCAGAAGCTATAAAGGAGGGTCATGCGAAGAAAGATGGGGAGTCAGATGTGGCACCTGATAGCAGGGACAATACTATTGTTGCTCAGGGTAAGAGCATCTTAGTGGTACTTCTGGGGTGGGTAACATCATCCAGCATGTGCTGTCTGGCTTAGGGCATAATAAGCAAGGCAAATATCCTGCTTCTTGCTTTTTTTTCTTTCTTTGCTACTCTTTGTGCCTCACTGTTCCTCTTCTCTCTGACTCAGATGTGCCAGAGCAACCCAAACTGCCTACAGCAGATAGCATTTGCCACTGTGATACCTGTGGCCGGAGACATGTGTCAGATGGAGCCCGGGAAGGCAGAGGTTTCTGCAGCGAGCATTGTCACCAGCAGTTCAAAGAAAGGTAAAGGAAGGGGGGTTTGCTCCACACAGGGACATATCTATCCATCTGTCTGCCCTCTCTCCTCTAATCAGCATGCTTCCAGGAAGAGATGCAAGCTCATCTGTCTCTGGCAGGTTCTGAGGACCCCACTTGTTTCTGTCTTCCTTGTAGGCAGGGTGTCCGGGGTACAGTGTGGGGGAGATAAAAAGTTGTTCCAAGGGGCAACAAAAGCTGCAGGAAGGTAGATTTTCTCTTACCCAGTTTGTGGCCTCACAAACATGCATCTGCTGGGGCAGGACTGCTGTGGGAGTTTGCTACAGGCTGAACAGCAGCGGGAAGTGTGGGTTGCAAGAGCATTTCCAACCTTTCTGCTTACTGACATGTGACTTCCAGCACTGATTTTCCAGCATCTCTGTGGACCCATCCCTAGGTTCAGGTTTCCCATACTAGTGTATAAGGGTGGTTCTGCTCTGTATTCTGGTTCTGACTGCTTGCCAGGTTTGGTGCTAAGAGGAGTGTATAAGTTAGTCAGGAGGAAGGGGATGCACTGCAAGTAGGAAATGGGACAATAGCACTTCTCCAGGACTGACTCCCTTACCAATGCCACAGATATTGCCATATATTTTACCACAGTGGTTTACTTTCCTCTTTGTAGGTCTGTCATTGTGGAAAACTCTGCCAGCAGCACCAGTGCCACTGAAATCCTCAAGCCAGTGAAGAAACGAAAGAGGAAGGACTACCAGAGCCCTTCAGAAGAAGACTATGAATCTGAGCAAATGGTAGGAAGATGGCAAGGCAAGCATGTGTGTACCCATGTCAGTGTTACTGTGTGCAGATCTCATCAGTGTTTTTCAGTGCCATATTAGCAGTATGTTGAAGGGGTAACCAGAAGCTGTTAGTACCAAAAAGACGAATATCATGGCTTCTAGACAATTGGCTGGCTGCTTGGCATACTGAGTGCATGGGAATGTTCAGTGTTGGACATGTTCTGACTGGGCTGTTTTAGATACTGAATGTTCTCAACTATTGTCTTGAGTCGATGCCACTCTAGTGTAGAAGTGCTGAAGAGAGCACCTATCTGTGTGATGTGTTTCTGGGGTACAGGACTGTTTGACAAGGCAAAGAAGCTCAGCTTGCCAGTCCTGGCTGTAGCAGATCCACACCAGACATCACTGCTACCATACAGTACCAACATTTCCCTGTCAGATTCTCAGATCAATCCTGTTGGCTTCCCATTTCTGGGCTAAGTATCAGTTGAATCATGGATGTTATTGGAGGCTCATCTTGGCCCTTGACACTGGTGTGAAGGTACAACATGCAGCATAAACCTCTGAGCAGGGATCCTGACATCTAATACCTTTGTCTGCTCTTGTATCAAGGAGGAAAAGCAGGAAGAGCTGAAAAACTCTGTGGGAGACTCTGCCATCAGCAATCCAGAGGCTGATACTTGGAGCCAGCACGGTATGGAGGGGCCAGGTCGGTGGAGGGGTGAACAGTCCTCTGCCACAGCAGTGTGGATGGGAATGCATGGTGAGGGCTGCAGAGTCTTACTGCAATCCTGCAGGGCTGGGCCAGCATTTTGGTGTTCCAGCAGAGTCAAGCACCAGTGCCACATATCGGTGCATGTTCTTGAAAGCTTGTGAACTCCTCTGCTTGATTGATCCTGCTCTCTCTGTCTCTTTCCCTTTCTTTCCTTTCTTCTCTTTCTCCCTGTGGATGGTTGCACCCTTACAAGTTACGGCTGTGTCTTCTTCAGGGGCTGTGTCGTACTGTACAGTGCTTTCTGGTCCCTCCCTTTGGGAATCAACCCTCCTGTGCGGATATTCCACTCTGAGAGGTCCTGTCCTGAGAAATAACCTGTTTATGCCTTGTTTGGCTGTTTCTTCCTCTTTGGGAGGTCTCAAAGGGAACTTCCCTCTTGGGATCAGGAGCTCACAGGTTTGGTTGCTGCTCCTGTAGGTCTTGGCTTGTAGGAGTCCAGTGATGTGGGATTGGCTCATGTCACAGGGATCTATTCCTAGACTGAATCAGAGCAAATCTCAAACAGAGATGTGGTGAAATCAGAGGGAAATTGGACAAGCTGAGGGACACACTGCTTGCCCCTTTTTTTTTTTTTCCAATCTTGGAGTATGACAGGGGGGAGAGGGAGGAGAGGAAAACTTGTGAAAATCCTGGAAGTAAACATTAATGGAAAATATATTTTCTTTGAACTGAAAGGTCATACTTAAAGTTATTTCAAAATGAAACTATTCCAGCTTCATACTCACGTCCACAGCAAAATGCAGGGACTGCAAGAGGCTCTAGATGGTTGTCAAATCCTGATTTTGAGTAGGTCCAAAGAAGGGCCACGAGTCTGCTCAGAGGGCTGGAGCACCTCTTCTGTGCAAACAGTCTGGGCTTGTTCAGCCTGGAGAAGGATGAGGGGAGAGCTGACAGTACTTTAAGGGAGCTTGTAAGCAGGAGAGAAATCAACATTTTACATGGATGAACAGTGATAGGACAAGGGGGAACAGTTTTAAGCTCAAAGAGGGAAGAGTTAGATTTGATGTTGGGGAAACTTTTCACTGAGAGAATAAGAAGGCTCTGCCACAGCTATGCATGCCCCATCCCTGGAAGATGAGGCTAGATGGGGCTGTGGGCAACCTTATCTAGTGCCTGATTTAGTGCTTGGCAACCCTACCCACAGCAGAGATGTGGAACTAGATGGTGTTCAAGGTCCCTTCCAACCTAAGCCATTCTATGATTCTATGAGTACAGTGAGTAAAGCACTACTGAAAAGGGAGGTTATATGTGGTTGCCAGGTCCTTTTCTCTACAGTCTGAGCCCTGAACACAGAATCACCCCTGCTGTTTACAAGTAAGCAGTGCTGAGCTTTGTTATTTTCAGCATTTTATTTTCTCATGTTTTAGAAGTTCATCAGTAGATAAAATATGCACCTGGATACTTCAGTGCAGCAAAGTAGGTGCACATTCTGTCTCTGGGTGTATTTATCACTCTCCAGAAGCATTAAATTTGTACTCATGCATTCCCTGGAAATTTTGCTGTTTTGGGTATTATCTTCTTTAAATGAGTATTATAAGGGCAAATGCATCTCTAGGGCATCAGAGTGGCTCTGATGTCTGAGGAAGACTCAGGTGGATATCTCAGAGAAGATAGCAGAACTTGTACCTCTGAAGTGGTGGAGGAAGGTGGTTTGACTGGCTGGGAGCCACTTGCATCGGGGAGTGATTCCCAGACTTCTAGATGGATTGTGCTGGCTGTCTCATATCTGTCAGCGCAGTGGTCATTTCAGATGTACTGGCTGGAGGACAGAGGTGTCCTGATGCTGTTGCACAAGATGACTTGTCTCTCATGGTCATTAGGTGCCTTGTAGAGTGTTGTACAGCAGCAAAAGACATTTGGGTTACAGGGACCTGTGTGAGAAGGGGGATCACTTGGCTCTGTCCCTCCTTGGGCAGCTGGCCAGGTTTGCTGGAGAAGGGGCTCTGGTAGGACTGAGCTTTGCAGTTATGCAGGACTGTGTGTGAGAGTGGGATGTGGCCCCAGTGGGATGGACCTGTGCGCTCACCTGCCCAAGGCAGGCAGGGACTGGGGCTGGAGCAGAACCTCAGCAGCGCCTCTTGTGTGTGCGTTTGTGCTGCGCTCAGGTGCCAGCGAGGAGAAGAAAGAAGGCTGGTCTTGGGCGTCCTACTTGGAGGAGCAGAAAGCTGTCGCTGCCCCTTTAGATCTCTTCCAGGATGTGAGTTGGGATTTTCCTGTCTTTTTCCCTCTTTCATCTTATCTTTTCTGTACCTTTTCTTTCCCACTCCTTTTTCTCCTCTATTCCTTGCTTCCCTATTTAGTGGGGTTCCCATCTTCATTTGGAAGTGACCAGTCAGCCTCCAGTTCTGATTGACCCCAAGTCCTGCTCCCCAGCAGAATGCTGTCCCTGTCCCAAGTGCCCTGTGCTGGCCTATTGCTCTGGGAGGTTGGTGGAGTCCTTTCAGTCCTTCCTCAAGTCAGGCTTGGGCTCTCCTGAGGCCATGTAGGGGATCTGTGCCCCCACCTCCCATTGGTTGATCGCCAGGGTGCAAGAGGAGCCCATACCCCATCCCCCAGTTCCTGTCAGCCCAGGGACACTCTGCCCTGAGAGCAGCAAGAGACACAAACCCACAAGGAGGTGGAGGAAGGTGTTTTCTTCTGTGGAAAAAGCATAACAATTTGGCCAAAAACATAACCTGTTGCCCATAATCTCCTGGGCCCAGCAGCTCCCATAGGCTGATGATTGTTCCTTGGGATAGTTTTAGACCCATTTACATATGCCATTTTTTTACATTGTATTTTAATTTTTGTTTCCAGTACCAAGTAGCTTCCCAGCACAAGAATGGCTTTAAAGTGGGGATGAAGCTGGAGGGAATTGATCCACAACACCCATCCATGTACTTTATCCTGACGGTGGCTGAGGTAAGGTGCCTTTGCTTTCTGCATCTTTCTGCCTGTCCTTGTGCTTCTCATTCCTGCCCAGTGGAACAGGAATTTGTGGCCCTCACCTGCATTCTGCTGCCAGCACTGCATGAGATGAGCTATCAAGCAAATGGGTGTTTCCTTCCCATTTGTAAGGGCAGGAGACATTGCTGTGGAGCAGCTGCCGTGTCCCAGCCCAGTTATTCTCTTTGCCACCCTGGAGCAATGGGGGAAGAAACTGTGGTATTGGCAACAGATTCTTACTTTTGAGTTGATGCCTCTCAGATAGGTCTGAGCCCTGGAGATGGAAGATGTGAAGGTGTCCCATTGCTCTTGTGTCTGCAGAGGCCTTCTGGCTCTGGGATTTTTCAGTCAGTCATTTGTCATGCCCCCAAATCAGACTTGCCTTGCATTTCTCTCTGGGCCCACAGGCAGCCAGGATGCTGTTCTTGCTACTGGAGAGATTTCACCAAAGCAACATGGCATTTAGCTAAACCTCTGTGCAAACATTTCCCACAAATGTAGAAAAGGGAATACTTGCACTCACTGGTTTTATCACATAAAGTGAATACAAACATATTTTACTGTGGCATCTTAAGCACCAGCCTGAAACCCCCTGCTCAGAAGCTGGCTAGCAGTGGCCTTGTACTTACCTTGCGCCATATTGGATAGCTCTTGGGTCTGGCATCCTGATTTGTGCACTGGCATATGATTTTTGTTTCTCAAGTGCTTGGCTTCCTTAAGTGCTATGCCGAAATGGTGCGTGGGAGGGGTGGTGGGTGCAACATCCAACCAGGGACAGCAGGAGGTTTCCATGGTCCTTTCCTTCTCCTGCCATTTCTGTGGGTAGGTATGTGGTTATCGGATGCGTCTCCACTTTGATGGCTATTCTGAGTGTCATGATTTCTGGCTGAATGCTGACTCCCCTGACATCCACCCTGCTGGCTGGTTTGAAGAGACAGGACACAAACTCCAGCCTCCAAAAGGTAAGAGTCTTGGTTGATGGGCCTTGTTGAAGGAAGGGGATGAATAACAAGCCCCTAGTCCAAGCGTAGGAGATAGGGACAGGGTGGTTTCCTGGGTTCCAGAAGGGATGATACTGCTAGGTGTTGCTGCAGGACACCACTTTAGGTACCCATCAACATTAAACTTTCCTTCCATTCTGGGTCAAAGCCCTGTTGCCTTGGATGCACTAGGCTGGTGCCCAGTGGTACTACTCCAATCTGGGTGCAGTGCACTCCTGGGCAGAGCAGGAGTGCTCTCCAGTGCTAAGCTGTTTTTCCACTCCAATGCTAACATTTCTTAGCACCCCTCTGAAGTCAGACACTGGCCTAAACCACAGGCTGTAGGTGCTCAAGGGCTGTTCAAAACCCTGCCCACCCTTGGTGTGAGGGCTGGCTGGATTAGGATGTCCGGGCTCAACCACATGACCTCTTGGCTCCCTGTGAACTTGCTGCTCTCATTTCTCTTCCTGAGGGGTTTTAGGTTATAAGGAAGAAGAATTCAGCTGGACAAATTACCTGAAGATAACAAAGGCGCAGGCAGCTCCTAAGCACCTCTTCATGATCCGAAACACTGTGAGTAATAGCTTCTCCTCCCTATCAGAGCCTGTGTGTTTGGGATGAACTGAATATTTCTACTGAATATTGGGCTTTTCTCTGTTCACCCCACAATTTTCAAAGCCACGGTGTGTAGGGCCAAGAGACTGCATTGCTTGTCAAGATGTGGTGTGCTTAGCTGCTGAAGATCCTTGGGCTTGCTGTGCCCAAAATTGGAGCTGGGCTGATTTGCTTTCTCATTTGGGTCCATCTCATGGACTGTTAACATCCGTTCCAATGGTATCGACTGGGGAGAAATAGGTGTTACTCTCAACAAATATTTTGCCAAAGAAAACCAAACAAACTATTCACGTTCCATTATCTGTTTTCTGTCTTCGTTATCTCTGTCTCTGCCTTTGTTTTTCATATGGCAGCTTGGGTAAAGGAAGTGAGAATATATTGGAATGAAAAATGCTGATGGTTTCTTTGCAGCTGCAGAGGAAACTAAACCTACTGATAAATTAGTCTCTTTAACTTATTTACTGTGGCTAAGTCCATGAATGGATGGATTCCCTGCTGAGGTGGGGATGTGATTTGCTGCAACAATTCCATTAGAACGCGTGACACGGTGTTTTGCAGATTTGGGATCCAGGAAGTAAGGCATGGTAGGATGCAGGGCACTGTCCCAGCTCTTTCTACCAAACCTAGGGCATTAGTAGCTAACACAGTAGGAACATGACTAGACTGAAATCAGTATAAGTTGGAGGCAAGTTTTCTCTCCTTATAGAAGATATTGAGGGTCTGAAGACTTTTTTCTTTCTTTTTGAATGGCCAGGGTGATTTAATTACCCTCTGCCTGTTCTGTTACGTACACAGGCCCTTCTGACCCTAAATGGCCCTAGGCCTGCCTGCAGGCCTGAGAGGGTCTTGTTTTAGGCAGCTGCTCTCTTGCAGCAGGCAAGAGAAGTGGTGAAGAGGGTGTTGGGACTGAGGCTGTGAAAGAAACCTGCCCCTTTCTCCTCCCAGCATGAGGCTCCTCCAGGCTTTGAGGTGGGCATGAAGCTTGAGGCTGTGGACCGCATGAATCCTTCCCTGATCTGTGTTGCCACAGTGACTGATGTGGTGGACGATCGCTTTTTGGTGCACTTTGACAACTGGGATGATACTTATGACTACTGGTAAGTGCACAGAGGCTTCTAGGTTCCCAGGTGCCAGCTCTCAGTAAAACCTTGCTTCAGCAAGAGTGATGAGATGCTTTAGAAAACAGGACAATACCACAAGCATGCTGCTGCAGATCGAGCAACAATCTGACCCTGTAACACTGATAGACTAACCCAGTAACAACCATAGAATCGTGTAGATTAGAAAAAACATTCAAGATCTTGAAGTCTAACCATCATCTGATCTACCAAGTCCTATCATTAAACCATGTCCAGAGGGAGAGACTCCAACAGTTCCTTGGATAGACTGTTCCAATACTTGACCATCCTCTCCATGAAGAAATGATTCCTAAGATTCAATCTAAACCTCCCTTGGTGCAACTTGAGACCATTATGAGACTGAAGAAGAGGGTCACCCATCTGTGCTGGGATGCAAACCTTTACCTGTTCATTGTCACTTTCTGGGATGTTGCTGTGGCCTTTTAGTTAACATGGGGCTAAGACAGGTCTGATCACAAACCATAGGCTGGCCCTGATACCCACTTGTGTGTCAGAGAGGGTTTTCTGCAATGCAGATGAGGCAGAGGCTGGATATCTACTCTTAAAAAGAGTTCCTGGGCCTGTAGGTGAAGCATTGTTTGCCTCTGGGGATGTGAGTGTGGAAGTGTCCCAGTTGAGGCTAATTTAAGCCAAGTAGTACAAATAGAGTTCTGTTTTGTTACTGATACCCTCTTATTTTGCACCCCAAGATGCTGTGGGGCTGCAGCAATTTCTGTCTGTGGCTGCTCCTTGCTGGTGTTGGGTACACAAAATAAGTACTTCATTCTCTGATCCAAGGCAGACCTCAAGTGTTCTGTGATGAACTAAGAGCTGTGACCAGGGTGTGAGCCCTGCTGGTTGCCCGGATTTGACTGCTGTGAACTCTGAAAGACATGGCATGTATGCTCCCACAGGGTTGCTTTTCCCTGGGCAGCTCTGACACAGCACTTCCATCCAACTCACATTCATGTCCTGCTCTTGTGAGATGGAGTACCCTACTCTAGCCCTTGCCCTGTTAGGGCCTGGAGTCCCCTGGATCACTCAGGGTTAAAGTCTTTGTTTCTGCAGGGGCTTTTGCTGGTGGTGTAGATCTAGACTGTGCCACTTGCTGGCCTATCCTAGGTCTGGCAGCCTGCACAGTCTAGCAGGGATGAGACAGGTGTCTCCGTCCTGTATAATGGTTTAGATGTATTTTCTAGGTGTGACCCCAGCAGTCCATACATTCACCCAGTCGGATGGTGTCAGGAGCATGGCAAACCCCTCACACCTCCTCAAGGTGAGTTGATAGCTGGAGAGCACAGCCTTCAGTGGCACATCACCTCAGAGACAGGCTTTCTGGGGTGGGACGGGATGCCTAGGGAGTCAAACCCCATGGCCTGTACTTGTCTGCAGGCCCAGGCAGTTTCCTTCAGCAAGGTTGTGGCCAAGGAAGTGGCACGTACAAGAGTCTCTTGTACATATGTGTTCAGTTCCAGCATGATGTTTGTGTCAGGCCAAGTAGAAAGGTCAGGAAGACCCAAGCTATGTGTGCAGGCCCAAAATGTTCCTGCTTCCCTGCACCCTGGATTTCATCATCCAGGACAAAATAGTAGCACATCTCAATGTCTCCTAGTTTTCCACATACATGGCACAGGCATGGTTGGTCTTTCAAGGCCTCTGGGTTACTTGCCATCTTCCTGCTGTTGTGTATCTCACCTTCTGCATCTATCCCTTCTAGATTATCCTGACCCTGATAATTTCATCTGGGAAAAATACTTAAAAGAAACAGGAGCATCTGCTGTCCCAGCTTGGGCCTTTAAAGTGGTGAGTGCCACATCATCTTCTCCATTGTACCTGGGCAGGAATTCAGGTTTTCTCTATTGTCAGGTCTTCACATTTATGAAGAGTAAAGAGATGTTTAGCATCTTCTTACCACAGGCCTGGGATTCAGATCTATGCTCAAGGTTCAGAAGTGAAGGCTGTCCTAGGCAAATAGTTTAAAATGGGAAAAAATCAGAAGAATGACCATCACCTCTGCTAGACAGAAGCTGTGTGATGGAAAATCATTTAAGTTTGCTTGATAGCTATATCTCCACTTGTTTCAATAACAGCTATGTCCAGCCAAGTGCAGCTGTGGTATAGAATCTCTAAATAGCTCTTGAAAGCTTTCTTCCCTTGAGCATAGCTTTTTCATCTTGTTAAAAACACAGTTCAGATCTGGGAGATCTGTTCACACTCTCCTGGTAGCCAGTATGAGCAGCATTGGCTCTTATCTGACAGGTTGGAGGGTTGGAGCTGGGCTTTGGGAATACGTATGCTTCTGGGAAAGCAAAGTAGTCTGGGGGTGACAGGATCCTGAGCATGGCCTTACTCCCTGCTGACCTATACTTTTCCTTGTCCCAGCGCCCGTCCCATGGCTTCCTGGTCAATATGAAGCTGGAGGCAGTGGACAGGAGGACTCCTTCCCTCATCCGAGTGGCCAGTGTGGAGGATGTGGAAGATCACAGGATAAAAGTGGGTTCTGAAGTCTCGATGCTGAGTCTAGGTCCAGGCGCTGTACTGGCTTCTCTTGCCTTTCCTAATTCACTGTCAGTTACAATGGCAAAGTATATAGAGGTCTGTGGAAGCACACAGTGCATAAGACGGCAAGTCCCAGTGCCTGGATCCAGGAGTGGAGCAAAATCTTGTGTTGCAGTTCATCCCTGCTCTGTTGCATGCTGTCAGCTTGGAAGACTTCAGAGCTACTCCCGGAGGTACACTGCTGTTTAAAGAGTGACCTCTCTACTTCTTTCCCCAGATCCATTTTGACGGCTGGAGTCATGTATATGATTTCTGGATTGATGCAGATCATCCAGACATACATCCCATAGGCTGGTGCTCAAAAACTGGTCATCCGCTGCAGCCTCCTCTTAGTAAGTTCTCATACCAGGGCCCAAGTGTGCCAGATCCCCACAGTCACCATCACTTGTTCATGTGCATCCATTGTGCTGGTCAAGGGTGGGTAAGGAGGAAGGGCTTCCACTGGGAAAATACTCCAGTTTGGTGCATGCTGGGGTGTTTGGGGCTGTGTCTATGACACCCTGTCCCCTGTTCTTCTGGTCTAGGACCAAAGGAACCAGCTTCCTCTGCTCACTCAGGCTGCCCAACCCTGGGCTGCAAGAACATCCCTCATACCAAGAGCTCCAAGTACAGCTTTCACCACAGGTGAGCTCCCCAGCTCAGCTCAGAGGAGTAGAGCTTCCCTGCCAGCTATGTGCCACAGCCTTCCTCTGCACCTGTCAGCAACCAGTCCTTCCTTGCACCCACCCTGTGCCTGGCTCTGTCCCTGGAGCCTGCTGTCAGCGTATCTGCTGATGAGCTGATGCTTTCCTTTCTGTACCTATCCTGTGCCCCCAGAGCTCCTGAGGATGCTCTTCAAGTTCATCTGCATGAGATCCTATAAGCCTTGTAGAGGATGGCCTTTATGTACTTGTAGATGATGCTTTGAGAATGATATTCCTGCCACCCCTACCTTTCACTGTGAGGTTGTAAGCTGGGAAGTACTGAGAGGGGACATTCCCTCAAGGCTTTGTCAGGTGTTGCATGACCCTTTTCAGGGGAAATCAGTGCTGGTGTAATGCTAATCCCAGCATGACAGGCTGTCATCAGAGCAGAGGAGCGAGTGTAGCAGAGAATACTTGAGAATGAGGGAGGCAAGTCTGGCTCCCAGGGGTTTATACCTGCTGGGCACAGTCATGGCACATGCTTTATCCTTACTTTGAGGCTAATCTGGATGCCTATGAGGAAGCACTCCTATGAACCCCACTGACCTGTGTGATCAGCATTCTGCTGACTTGCCAGTGGACAAAATAGGACAGGTGTTTGTACTGGAGGGACTGGACTTGCCCTATCTATTAGCCCATGTAGCTGGCACCATGGCCCCAGGGAATGTGTTCAGCAAGTCTTTACTATGCTTTGCTTGGCCAAGGCTATGGCTTCCAGCAGTTGGGGTTGGACGGTCGTCCCAAGACAGCTTCACCCACTCTTGCCTCATGCTTTGTTCAACTCTCACCTGCCCTTTATTCTCTAGGAAGTGCCCCACGCCGGGCTGTGATGGATCAGGACATGTGACAGGGAGATTCACAGCACACTACTGCCTCTCAGGGTGCCCGCTGGCAGAGAAGAACCAGGGCAGGCTTAAAGCAGACTTGTCTGACACCGAGGCCTCAACTCGCAAGAGGAACCTGATCGGCTTCCCTCAGCGGAAGAAATCGCGGCACCATGGGAGGTAGGGGCAAGCCTGGCGAGCCCCATGCAGCAGTGTGGGGCCACTGAGCTACACATGACGTCTGTAGGATGGATGATTGAGTTGGAGAGACTCCTTGCCTGCAGGGGGGCATGTTTGCTGACAGCTGGCTTTTGCTATTGCAGCTCTATTGAGTGACCTTTGACACCTCTCCTGTTTTTTTTTTTTATTCACATTATGTTTCTTTGGCTGTCAACCCTTTTTGTCAGGGTCTGAGAGGTAATCCATGCTTCTACTGTCAAGGCATTGCTCTGTGCAGTGTGGCAAAGGGCTCTTAGGCCAGTTCCAACACAGGTGAGATCGGTTTTCCTTTATCTTTAGAGGGCGACCTCCAAAGTACCGGAAGATCCAGCAGGAAGACTTCCAGAGTAAGTGTGCTCCTCTGCCATGGTGTCATTGCGGAACAGGGGTAAGACCTGGCTGGCAGAAGTATGTCTTTCCTTGGCTTGCTCTGTCAGCACCAGGCATAGGTCTGTGTAGACTTCATGATGTCATGATGTCAAAACGAATCATCTGACAAGGTATGTCCGTGACTCTTAGCAGAGCTCTGCTAGGTCCCTCATCACTTCTCTTGATTTGTATCTGTGAATCTTTGAGTGCTTTAGGGCAGGAAATCAGGACTGTCTCTCTCTGGCTGTGCATTTTTCCAGGCACTTTGTCTTCAGCTAAGGGTGCTGTGCTTTCATCCTACCGGTGCTATACCCCAGATCCTCAGTGTGAGGTGCCACATTACTCCTGCAGAACAGAACCTGTTGTTGAACATTTTGTTTGGCATTTAGTTCTGATGATTGGCATGGGACGTAAGTGACTGTAGGGTGGTAAGGCATTTTCTCCAGCCAGTACTGATTTTACCATAGGCTGGCTTGGTGTTTAGCGCATCACTGGAGCTGAATGAAGATCTCTTATTGGAAGCCATCATTGGCTCATTAGAGCAGAGACTAAGGCTTAAAGTTTTGTTATAAACCTAAAAGGAGTTGAATGATAAGGGATGGTATTCTGGTGTGAAATTTGAATTGAAATTTATCTCAGCATGAAGGACTGAAGAGAACAAGGCAAAGTCAGCCTGGTCTCTAAACTACTCCCACCATCCCCAGTCCCTCTGTACTGAATGCCCTTGATGCATTAATATATCCTGTTAATTCAAAGGACAGCCACTAGCTCTTGTGACCCCACAAGACCATCTTCTCCCAGCCCCAGGTCTTCTCCTGAACAGAGTCTTCTCTAAGCCTTGTAGAATGGGACAGGATGTTCTCATCCCCCATCTTATTATCACACCTTGCATTTTTATTGGCAGCTATTTCTCCAGACAACATGCACCAGTCGCTCTTCATGTCTGCCCTGTCTGCCCATCCTGACCGCTCTCTATCACTGTGTTGGGAGCAGCACTGCAAACTCCTACCAGGAGTGGCTGGCATCACAGCAACCACAGTAGCCAAGTGGACAATTGATGAGGTAAGACAGTTTTGGAGTATGTGCTGGTTCCTAACCCACTGGCATGACTGGGAGGACTTCAGCTGGCTGTGCAGCACCATGGTACATGTCCCTGGCACAGAACAGTGGCCTTCTCCCTGGGCTAATGAGGTGTCCTGCTGGATGCACCTGAAGAGCACAGTGTGGACAGCTGTCAGTCACGTGCCCTGGTGGCAGTGGCTTGGGAAGAATATGCATAACTATCAGATTCTTCCTTGGCTTGAATGTGATGCTAGCAGGGCAGGCAGGTGAAGGACACCAGTCTTCATTTAGCATACTAGTTTTCCAAATCAGTTTTCTCTTTTCTAAATAAAGAACAAAACAACAAACAAGAAAAAAAAATCCCATAGACTGTGCAGATAGGGAATCCCTTCCCTCTTTCTCTGTGATGAAATATTTACTTCTGATTCATACTCGTCACTTTCATTTACTTTCTTTGGTATCGGTAGTGGCCTCTCTTGAAGGTTGGGTAGCTGGACCTCTGACACTGGACTGGCAGCCCCAGCACCCAGCTCTGCCTGATGTCCCCTGTATGCACCACTTCTGTCCCAGTCCCTTGGTGGGAATCATCTTGTTGGGCTGGAGATGGCTTATTGGAGATAAAGCCATTGTAGCATTTGCTATACAGGGGCTGGAAAGGACCAGCACCCATGCTGTTTCTTGAGCAGGCTATGTCTTGGATGGGTGCCACTAAACAAGCTTTGAGGCAAGTATTGTTCCAGCTTCTTACACACTGGTCAGGTGTGGCATAGGAGAATGCTGCAACTGCAGCACTTAGTCCTACCAGGTATGGGTTAACTTAAAGGAGCCATAAAGCTTCTGTGGAAATGGGGATGTGATCTTGTAGGATGTCTCCAGACAGAAACATTGCTTCCATCTTGACATTTCTTTCTCTTTATTCCAAGGTCTTTAGCTTTGTTCAAACTCTGACGGGTTGTGAGGACCAAGCCAAGCTCTTCAAAGATGAGGTGAGAAGGGCTGGAGGATGAATGCAGGAAGCCCAAAGCATCTGTTTGCCAATAGAGGACGAAGGAATTGGCCATTGGCCTTCCCTCAGTGGCTTTGCTGCTGAATGCCTAGAGTACATCCACCACCTGGCAGTAATTCCCACCCTGGGGGTGGCAGTTGCATGACATTCCAGTGTGCAACTGTCTGCATTTGCAGATAGTGGCATGAGAGAGATTTTGGATTCTGTCCATATCTTGTTGTGCTTCCCTCTTCCCCTGGCGTGAGTGAAGAAGGGTCCCTGTGAGGAGGCTGAGACTGGGGAGCAGGAGGATGGTGCTGCAGCTTCACAGAATCATAGAATCGCTCAGGTTGGAAAAGACCTTAAAGATCTTCAAGTCCAACCATGACCTAACCATACTAACCTAACTCTAACAACCCTCTGCTAAATCATGTCCCTGAGCACCACATCCAAACGGTCTTTAAGCACATCCAGGGATGGTGACTCAACCACCTCCCTGGGCAGCCTATTCCAGTGCTTAACAACCTTTTCTGTAAAGAAGTTTTTCCTGATATCCAGCCTAAACCTCCCTGGTGCAATGTGAGGCCATTTCCCCTCGTCCTGTCACCTGTGAGAAGAGACCAACCCCCCGCTCTCACTGTAATCACGTTTCAGGTATTTGAAGTGACCAGTCAGGTCTCCCCTCAGCCTCTTCTTCCCCAGACTAAAACAGCCCCAGTTCCTTCAGTCTCTCCTCATAGATCATATTCTCCAAGCCCTTCCCCAGCCTTGCTGCCCTTCTTTGCACCTGCTCCAGCACCTCCATGTCCTTTCTGTATGGAGTTGCCCAAAACTGAACACGGCACTCGAGGTGAGGCCTCACCAGTGCCGAGTACAGGGGCAGGATGACTTCCGTAGTCCTGCTCACCAAACCATTCTTGATCCAAGCCAGGGTGCCATTGGCCTTCTTGGCCACCTGGGCACACTGCTCGCTCATATTCAGCCAACTGTCCATTCAGTGGCATCACTGCCTCCTGAGGGAGACTCCTAAACCCTCATCTATCCATCCTTCCCTTCCTGTATCCTCTTACCAACATGTCAGTTTTGTGACACTACTGTCCATCAGGGAGGTTCATCATTTTTAGACCCCACTGTGGACAGACATACGTAAAAACTGATTTCTAGCATGTGCATTTCACCCCTGGCAGGCTGATCCTGGGCACACTCAGTACAGCGTATGTCAGCTTCAACCGAAATGGCCATTGTGCTCTGAGTGCTCAGGCAAAGTCAATGTGGGAGAAGCCTCTGTACATGCTGGGGCCTAGCAAGAATCAGTCTGGTGTTTGCCCAGAGGGACTTGCCTGCTAGCTGTGAAGTGCCCACTGCACTCTGGCACAGAAGCCCAGGCCAGCTGCAGTGTGAGTTCCTGGACCAGCTCTTGAATGGGTTTATCTGCATCCCTGCACTGACCCTGGCACATGAGTTTCCAGATCTGGCTTATCTATCTGGGACAGCATAGGAGTACTGTGAGTGGCTCTTGCCATGCTCCATATGAGCAGGGGGACGCTGTGGCTGGCTGCCAGGAGTGAGGTTGTTTACATCTCCAGAGTCTGTCTGTAGGACATCACAGCCTGGTTTGTCGGTGAATGCCTTAAGTCCCTGCTCTCCTCTGCAGATGATTGATGGCGAAGCATTCCTCTTGCTGACTCAGGCTGACATCGTCAAGATTATGAGCGTTAAGCTGGGCCCGGCTCTCAAGATCTACAATGCCATCCTCATGTTCAAGAATGCTGATGACACCTTAAAGTGACTTTCCTTGGTCCCACTGGGACCTTCCTTCAGCACTGGTGCTGCCAAACTGCCTGGCCAGGACAGAGACCCCCCTGAGTGCGCTCAGCTTGTTGTGTCCTGCAGCATCTCCTACAGTCTGTCTCCTCCTGTCCCCTCCCTCACTCTTTCTCCATGCCACCTCTCTGCTCCAGTGCTGAGCGCAGGCTGGCCACAAGATGCAGAGACAGGGGGTGGATGTGGGACTGCCTTAGTGCAAAAGATGCTCTAATACTCTACTGTAACTGCACCCATTTGGGGTGTGATCAAGGATGGGGGAGTGGTGCAGAGGTTGTAACAGCTGGAGGCTGACAGCTCAGCTTAAGCCACCAAGGGAAAGGACTGATTGACTGCATACATGCTTGAAGGCTGGTCTTTGCTCAACAACTGGGAGAGATTTTTGTTCCTTTTTTTTTTCTTCTTGTGTTTTCCTCTGGGGGATTAGATGCTCTAAAGGAGTTTCTGCTCACTTTGCCTTTTTGTCTTTCAGTTCTGTGACTCAAGGCTAGATGATAACTTTGCTTTGCCCCTCACTGTGCTGGGAAGCAGTGGCCTCATCTCTTGCTCTTTCTGGCAAGCAGTGAGTCCTGGCTGCAGCTCTGCCTATGACCATCTATGTTTTGATCACAGAGGCCTGGTGGGGCTAGGGCTTGGTGACTGTAGAACAAGCTCCATTTCCTCTTATGCAAGCTGTCTTTGCCAGCATGTCTGTGGGAGAAAGAGTGGTTGGTTAAATTGTTCCCCTTTCAGCAATTAAAAAAATCCTTTGCAAGGGAGAGTCAAGCCTACTTTGGTCCATGTATTAGGGGCAAAGCCCTTTCTAGAGCTGAGGCAGCTGCAAAGGGCAAAAAATATCCACAGGCAGAATGAGGGCTTAGTTCCAAAGGCATTCTTGGCCTGGCTTAATCAGTCCTACCAATCTGCCTTCTCCCCCATTTTGCCTTTGTGTGGTCCCTGAGCATTCCTGTATGAAGAGCAGGGTGCCTCGCTGTTCCTGGATTTCTTCCCTTCAAAACCAAAAGGAAGTTGGTTTTTTTTATTATTTTTTCCCCTCCTATATTTTTACTAATATATGACTTTTCCAGCAAGGATGCATGCACTTTGGAAATGCTCATGTAGCGCTCTCCCCTGTAACAGAGCAGTGTTCTGGAAGAAGACCCTCTCTTCAGATATTCCATGTGTCCCCTGCTCCTCGGGATGAGGCCCTGAAGCACTCACATGGCACTCACTGTGGTCTGCCATCCTTATGTGCACAGCTGCTGCAGGTGTTGTTGGAGCAGCAAAGTGGCAGTGCTGTGCTGCAGGGCAGCCACACACCCCAAGGGCTCTCCATAGTCTGCAGTGATGTGATCCCTTAAGTCCCACACTCACTTTCTTTCCCATTCCCAAGAATGTTACCAGTAGCAAAATATTTTTTCCCCTTTCCCAGTGTCCAAAGAGATGAGGTGTCTTAGCAAGTGCACCAGCAGAAGTGGAGCAGAACTGTG